AAATGGGGTGTGAACATTGAGACTATTGACAAATTGTTCCCAGTCTGTTTGCCGCAGCTCTGTCATACACTCTCTGGCAACAGCAAGGGCAGTTTGGAAGAGGCTCAGCATTTCAGGGGTACGATGGTTTCTATAGGCTAGGCCTAGTCTGCGAGCAGTACGTTTCAATGTTCGAAGTTTAGAATCATTGTAATAGGTATGGTTTTTATATGACTTATGATTATTATGGAAGTCATTAGGATTTAGAGTAGTAGGAGGTTTCAGAGGCGGCTCTAAGAAGTTCTGAATACTGCTCACAAGGTCATTGTTAAAAGTCTCGACAGAGGTACACTCATAGGAATTATACCAGTCAGTCACATGTGCAACAAAGTCGTCATGCTGATCAGGGGGAACATTAAAACGTTTCCTTTTGAATATCCCACCAGGGGCGATAGTATTACCAATATCTAGAGAGGTTAGCCTTGGGAAATGATCTGATGATATATCTGTTACAATGGAAGACTTGCAGCTGGCAAAAGTAATGTTGAAGCCCAGGCACAGATCAAGGACGCCTCCATAGATATGTGTGGATTCAAGATCACCAACAATTTGAACATTATCATGACTGTTTAAGAGTAACAACAGTTGATTACCATTACGATTACCAAACTGAGAGTTTCCAATGCTTTTGTGTCTTGCATTATAATCACCAATAGTAAGAGTAGGTTCAGACTGAGCACAAGTTGGGAGCTCCAAGTAATTAAACTTATCAGCAGGAACATACAAGTTAAATATGTTGAGAACAGAGTTCCCAATATAAATCCTAACACTGTGATACTGAAGTTGATGGGGAAGTGATTTTTTAATATATAGAACACAAGAATTAGTAGATTTGAGGTTACATGCAACAAATGATGGCAATTTGGGGGGCTGTGATTTTTCAGGGACTCTGCACTCTTGTAGACACACAGTATCAATGGATTCAGTAGTTACTTTATGATGAAGGTCAGAAAATCTTTTTCTAAGTGACGCAATATTCCAACTTAAAATGGAGAGTTTATACGAGTTTGGTTCCATCATAAAAGTCCAGGGATAGAATTCAGTTTCTCAACAAAATAAAAAAAACTTACTAAATAGCAAACAGACATAATCAATATCAATATCATCAGTATTATCCTTATCCATGAGTGTCTTAAGTGCACTTCCACTATGGAGACCTCTTGGGAGTCTTTGTTTACAGAGGGCACAGCACTCTTTGTCTGTGAATGTATGGAAGGTGACACTATCCCTCACACTCGCCTCTCCACTTTTATTACACTCATCACTATCATCACATGTACCACTTCCCTCATCATTATGACCAATGATACATACACCATTATCAACAACTGGGTCATCTCCACACTCAGTATCTATCAGTACATTACACTAATCATTTTGACTATCATGATGTTCTTCACTGCCCTTATCATCTTCACTGTGATTGTAAACACCACTATCAGATTCATCATTTATGTAATTATTAACACCATTCCAATCATCAGTTTGTTCATCATCACCACACTCATTTTCATAATGGCTGATGTACTCATTTGCAACCTCTGTAAGTTTTTCCTCGTGGTGCTCAAGTTGTTGTTTCAAACACTATTGTTGCTCTCCAGTACTGTTATGCACAGCTGCATGTTGTGTACCACCCCCAACAAGACTAGCTTCATCTGGAGGTATTAAGTCCCAGTCAGCTGAGCCAGGTGGCTGACTGACAGCTGACTCAGCCAGACAGGTGGTGTCAACACCAGCAGCATTACTAGTGTTGATAGCAGACGTGATCGTGCTCTGTTGATGTACTCCCAGAGTGACTCGCTCAACCACATTGTGTGAAATCAGGCATGGGTCAGTATTCAGACATGAAGTATCTGGTAGGCCTACTGCCTCCTCATGGGGGGTGATGGGTGAGGCGGGAGCCCTGCGGCTGGCGATGTGGGCAGCTTTCACTCTGCAGTCAGCATGAGCAGCTGTGACTGCTGGAGTCTTACAATTGATACATTGTAATGCAACAATCTGGTGTTTCTTGATCATATCATAGCATTGGTGAGAAGGATGGGCCTTGGCACACACTGCACACCAATGTGACTTAGTAGGGCATTTCCAAGCAATGTGACCCCAGCGCTGACACTTGCAGCATCTACGGTGAGGTGGTTTGTACAAGGCTTTTTTGTAACTCCTGTTAAGCACTGCACGAGAGTAGATATATGATGGTGGAGTCCCTTGGCCAATCCACTCAGCCAATATCAGATCATTTGGAAGTCGATGAGGGTTTGCAACTTGATCTGACAACAGGAATTTAGGATCCAAGTATTTATTGACATTGTGGATAACAATAAGCACTTCAGGTGATCTTGGTGGGACAGCTTGGAGTTGGATGTTAACATATTTATGAGTAAGAAGTTTTTCTATGAATGCTGGGTCGTTAGTAACAAAAACGTAATTATCCTCGTCATGACGAAAGTGAGTCCAGAGGTTTTCTTCTGGGTTGTCTAGTGTAGCTTCGTAAAACCATCTAAACTTGACCTCAAACTCAGTGTTAGCAGGGAAATCAAGCCTAACCGTTGTGCGATGGCTGTTGTTGCTCTCGTTGTTTCTTGTAGCAAGCCTCCTCCTTTCTTTTTTCAAAGCTTGCTTCCTTCTATAATGTTTGAATTCGCCTTCACCATCATTTACTTCGTTCACATCCATAGGTCACTTCTAGTTCGGCTGCTTGAGGTGGAAGAGTCAGTCTGTTACTCTTGGGTCAGCAAAACTGCCTTTATTCCATAAGAGAGAAGGGACAAGGAAGGGATATTCACCTCGCTAGGCACAGGCAATATGGGTGTAATGGCCTGCAGGTTGCAGTGCCATTTTCAAGGTCATTCACCAGGCCACAGTCATCTCGAGAGTTACCAACACTGTACTACCCGTTAATTACTCCAAACCCGCAGCACTTAACACATCTAGCACATGTTTCTTGGAATTACAGACAAATTTTCACTCTGTGGACAAACAAATCAGCACAAACTTACTATGTTTATAGATGAACCTCTGGTACGTTACAGTTAAAAAGCCGTCTCCGAAGGAGTTACCAGGTACTGCAATGCTCCTTAAATTGTTCTTAACCACTCTTGTTCCAACTATGCAGCATTCCTCCCAGAAACACTCAGTGCATAGAAGAATAACAGGTCATCTTCCTCAGTTAGAGATATGACACATTTTGTACAAGCGGCACAGTCGGATTCACCTGGCAGGCCTCAGTCAGGTCTGGATCACCAACTCACGCAGGATGGGAGATTCGTCCGTATTTCTCAGGTAGGCAGAGGTGACTAGCTGTGCGGAACTCAGATATTCGAGTACCAGCAGAGCAGCAAAATACACCTCTACACTGCACATTGATAGAGGGGAACGGCTGAGTTTAAAGGCGGAGAGTTGGGGATACAGGAGAATAGCAGGGGTAACTGAGCATGCACATTTGCCTCTCTTCACATAGTCAATATGGGCGAAAGTCTCAGGCAGGTGATGCAGTGCCTCGCTCAAGATTGTTGACTGAGGCAGACTTCTCGAGAGTTACCAAACACTGCAATACTCGTACAAATAGTTACTCACTCCAAACTTGCAGAACTTCTAGCACACGTGTCTTGGAATGAAAGACGAATTTTCAGTGTGTGTGCACACCTGGGTTACCAACTCACGTAGGATTGCACACTTGTCGTTATTCCTCAGGTTGGTAAAGGGATGAGCTGTGTGCATTTTTAGAGGCATGAGTAGCAGTTGGCTAGCAAAATTCAACTCTACACTGTATGTTGATAGAGGCGAAAGGCTGAGGTCAAATGAAAGGAAGAGGGGAAGCAGAGGCCTGTGATGGCCTTTTCAAAATGGAAAACTGTTTCCAGTGTTTCACTAGGTATATCCCTAGTCACAACTCACACATAAGAGTTTTCACAACACTAAAGCTGTCTTCCAACAGTATGAGCTTTAATGATGACTTATCAGTCAGGAGAAATGGGTTGGCCTGCAAATTAGTAGGTCCAGATCATCCCCCAGCACACGTCTACTCCCCTCAACCATGGTGCATTGCAGTTGTATAAAGCAGTTAGCCCTGTACTACACTCTGTTTTCTCTAATATAAGCCCCCAAGACAGGGCTAGGAGGATGGTAAGTGTATCCTATATCCTCTTCATATCTCCGATGAACCGCTCAGTATTATGCCATATATTATTCATTCTGGAGTATTTACCAGTTTTTATGTTATTTATATTGTTTATTTTGTCAAATTTGATCAATTGTGATAGGTAAATAAGCTGTAGTGTTGATATTAGTGTATTAATGAAGCATATTCCCCTGCATCACGAGACTGAGCTCATGGCAACTGACAGTGGCTTCAAAGTCACCTTATCTTTTATGGACAGTGTACCGTGTATGTGCTTTACACGAGAAGCATTTCTTTTATTCGTTGGAACCATGGCTAGGGCTAAAAGTAAGCAGGTTATAACAATAAATGGAGAAAAAGAAATTGGAATAACTTGTGCAGCAAGTAGTACCACCAAACAGTAGCAGCAGGTTGGTGTGGCAACCCTGGAAATTTGAAATTGTGCTAGCCGAAATTAGTGCCGAATTACTGATGGAACCGAAAAACTGATTGCTGGATTAGTGATGGCTGACCTGTATCAGTCTTCAGTAGTTCAGCATCAGTCTTCAGTAGTTCAGCATCAGTCTTCAGTAGTTCAGCATCAGTCTTCAGTAGTTCAGCATCAGTCTTCAGTAGTTCAGCATCAGTCTTCAGTAGTTCAGCATCAGTCTTCAGTAGTTCAGCATCAGTCTTCAGTAGTTCAGTATCAATGTTCAATAGTTGTATTTTTACTTTCTCTTAAAATTTATTTTAGCATATTGTGTAATAATTGTGACTGGTAATATTATAGTTACGTATATTTTATGTCACACGTGTTATGTTGTATTGTGTTGTGTTTACTCTCATTTCAATATTTCATGCTCAGGGTCGTCTTGATCTTATATTTGGTCGTCCTGCGCTCTTCCCTCCCGCCAAAGCTACACAGTCGTACATCTTCACATTCCGATGGTGGGGCGACACAAGACCCTGCATTTTACGGTAATATATGTACTACAGTACATTAATATCTTCTTCATTTTTACATTAACTATCAACAATAACTTGTTGATAGTTATTTAAAAATTAAAAAAAAAATTCTTATGAGCAATACAGATTAGTTACAGTAGATGTATATGCAAATTGATTTTATTTTGAATTTGATCTTATAGATATAATTTGATAAAATAAAGGCAAACTAAATCATTATAATTATAAGCACAGTGAGACAGACAACTTGCAAATGAAGAATTGGTCAATTACATGAATTACTGTACATTGAAATGTCATCAACTCAAAGACCTGCATTGTATGAAGTGGTTGAACTGAGGTAGTGATATCAAAGTATGAGAATTTACAGGCATTTACTAGATGGTGACAGATGGGGAAACTTTTTCAAATTTTAAGGCAGATTTAAAAATTTTTGTGCCTTTTACTGCTTGGAGTTTATGAACAGGTTGAGTTATGTATGTGAAATGTCAAGAGAAATATTTGTTGCTTGTATTGCATTCATATGTTGTGTTACAGCATGCTAAATAGCAATTAAGTTCTGGGTTAATGTTCGTATTGAGTGTTCTGCAGATGTAGTGTACACAATAGAAAGTGTGAATATTTTATACATTAATTAAATTTAAAAATTTGAACAAGGGGAGTGTATTGTCTGAAACTTAATGAATAATTGTTATTTTTGAGAGAGACTTTTTTTTTTTTTTTTTTAAGAAATGTCTTGGATGTGTGTGATGAATTTGTTTGCTGTACAGATGTACTCCCAAGAATTTATCCTCCTGCCTATCAATTGATGTATTACTTTTGCTCAAATAAACATCTTTTGTTTCCAAACATTATATAAAAGGTCTTGTCATTGTTGAGTGTGAGTTTTAGTAATTGTTAGTAGTAGATATTTTAGCAAGTTTGGCAAGTTGTCATCAGCAAACTGAATTGGTTAAAGTCCCTTTGAAGCAATTGGGAGGTCATTGATATTGATTAGGAATAACAGAGGGTCCAGGACATTACCTTGTGGAACCCCAATGGTGATCGACCAGGTTGTTGAAGAACTGTCATTAATGGTCACATGTTAGTGTCTGTTACTCTGGTAAGATTTCATGTATGAGAGAGCATATCTTTTTATTCAATAATATTTTAATTTGAGCAGCAGATTATTTTGATCTACTGTCTCTCTATCTCTGTCTCTCTCTCAGGTTATGTTAGGGAAGTTTTGGCTTCAGTTGATTCCATTAGTGTTGTAACAGTTGGGGATAAGTCATGAAAAACTTTCTTGTATATTAGTGGTGGTATATATGAACATTGTTTCTAGTCATGTATATTAGTGGTGGTATATATGAACATTGTTTCTAGTCATGTATATTAGTGGTGGTATATATGAACATTGTTTCTAGTCATGTATATTAGTGGTGGTATATATGAACATTATTTCTAGTCATGTATATTAGTGGTGGTATATATAAACATTGTTTCTAGTCATGTATATTAGTGGTGGTATATATGAACATTATTTCTGGTCATGTATATTAGTGGTGGTATATATAAACATTGTTTCTAGTCATGTATATTAGTGGTGGTATATGTGAACATTATTTCTGGTCATGTATATTAGTGGTAGTATATATGAACATTATTTCTGGTCTTGTATATTAGTGGTGGTATATATGAACATTGTTTCTGGTCTTGTATATTAGTGGTGGTATATATGAACATTATTTCTGGTCTTGTATATTAGTGGTGGTATATATGAACATTATTTCTGGTCTTGTATATTAGTGGTGGTATATATGAACATTGTTTCTGGTCTTGTATATTAGTGGTGGTATATATGAACATTGTTTCTAGTCATGTATATTAGTGGTGGTATATATGAACATTATTTCTGGTCTTGTATATTAGTGGTGGTATATATGAACATTATTTCTGGTCTTGTATATTAGTGGTGGTATATATGAACATTGTTTCTGGTCTTGTATATTAGTGGTGGTATATATGAACATTATTTCTGGTCTTGTATATTAGTGGTGGTATATATGAACATTATTTCTGGTCTTGTATATTAGTGGTGGTATATATGAACATTGTTTCTGGTCTTGTATATTAGTGGTGGTATATATGAACATTGTTTCTAGTCATGTATATTAGTGGTGGTATATATGAACATTATTTCTGGTCTTGTATATTAGTGGTGGTATATATGAACATTATTTCTGGTCTTGTATATTAGTGGTGGTATATATGAACATTATTTCTGGTCTTGTATATTAGTGGTGGTATATATGAACATTGTTTCTGGTCTTGTATATTAGTGGTGGTATATATGAACATTATTTCTGGTCTTGTATATTAGTGGTGGTATATATGAACATTGTTTCTGGTCTTGTATATTAGTGGTGGTATATATGAACATTATTTCTAGTCATGTATATTAGTGGTGGTATATATGAACATTGTTTCTAGTCATGTATATTAGTGGTGGTATATATGAACATTGTTTCTAGTCATGTATATTAGTGGTGGTATATATGAACATTATTTCTGGTCTTGTATATTAGTGGTGGTATATATGAACATTATTTCTAGTCATGTATATTAGTGGTGGTATATATGAACATTGTTTCTAGTCATGTATATTAGTGGTGGTATATATGAACATTGTTTCTAGTCATGTATATTAGTGGTGGTATATATGAACATTATTTCTAGTCTTGTATATTAGTGGTGGTATATATGAACATTGTTTCTAGTCATGTATATTAGTGGTGGTATATATGAACATTGTTTCTGGTCTTATATATTATTGGTGGTATATATGAACATTATTTCTAGTCATGTATATTAGTGGTGGTATATATGAACATTATTTCTAGTCATGTATATTAGTGGTGGTATATATGAACATTATTTCTGGTCTTGTATATTAGTGGTGGTATATATGAACCACCAGGCCCGGTGGCCTGGTGGCTAAAGCTCCCGCTTCACACACGGAGGGCCCGGGTTCGATTCCCGGCGGGTGGAAACATTTCGACACGTTTCCTTACACCTGTTGTCCTGTTCACCTAGCAGCAAATAGGTACCTGGGTGTTAGTCGACTGGTGTGGGTCGCATCCTGGGGGACAAGATTAAGGACCCCAATGGAAATAAGTTAGACAGTCCTCGATGACGCACTGACTTTCTTGGGTTATCCTGGGTGGCTAACCCTCCGGGGTTAAAAATCCGAACGAAATCTTATCTTATCTTATCTTATCATGTATATTAGTGGTGGTATATATGAACATTGTTTCTGGTCTTATATATTATTGGTGGTATATACAAACATTGTTTCTGGTCTTATACAGTAGGGCCCCACTTATAAGGCAGGTTAGGTTCCAGGCTACCGCCGTAAAGTGGAACACTTTTTTTTCCACTTATAAATGTATATAAATACAGTGGACCCCCGCATAACGATGGCATCACATAGCGATTATTTCGCATACCGCTTACTTTAATTGCAAAAATTTTGCCTCACATACCGCTTAAAAACCCGCTTACCGATTTTCGTCCGAGACGCGTCCAATGTGCGGCCTGAGCCACGCTCACATGTTCCGCCGGTGGCATTGTTTACCAGCCAGCCTCCGCGGTAACATCCAAGCATACAATCGGAATATTTCGTATTATTACAGTGTTTTCGGTGCTTTTTCTGGAAAATAAGTGACCATGGGCCCCAAGAAAGCTTCTAGTGCCAACCCTACAGCAATAAGGGTGAGAATTACAATAGAGATGAAGAAAAAGATCATTGATAAGTATGAAAGTGGAGTGCATGTCTCCGAGCTGGCCAGGTTGTATAATAAACCCCAATCAACCATCGCTACTATTGGTGGTACAGCTGCTGCTGCTGCTGCACTGTCAGCTGCTGCTGCTGATGCACTGTCAGCTGCTGCTGCTGCTGTAGCACCGTTGTTGGTGTGGCTTATTGGGAATACCAAGAAACAATTAACCCCAGAGGATTTGCCACCCAGGATAACCCAAAAAAGTCAGTGTCATCGAAGACTGTCTAACTTATTTCCATTGGGGTCCTTAATCTTGTCTCCCAGGATGCAACCCACACAAGTCGACTAACACCCAGGTGAACAGGGAAAAATGCCTGGAACTAGTGCTCATATTGGTGAATTTAAAGCCAGCAAAGGTTGGTTTGAGAGATTTAAGAATCGTAGTGGCATACACAGTGTGATAAGGCCTGTTCTGGAAGAAAATGCCAAACAGGACCTACAGTACTCAGGAGGAAAAGGCACTCCCAGGACACAGTGTCTCATCAGTCATTGCTGCATCTTCAATAAAGGTAAGTGTCATTTATTCTTCATTTAGTAGACTAGTACATGCACAATATATACTGTGCATGTACTACTCTACTATTGTGCATGTATCCTTCTCTTTGTGTGTGGGAAAATGTATATTTCATGTGGTAAAATTTTTTTTTTCATACTTTTGGGTGTCTTGCACGGATTAATTTGATTTCCATTATTTCTTATGGGGAAAATTCATTCACATAGCGATTATTTCGCATAACAATTACCCCTCTTGCACGGATTAAAATCGTTAACCGGGGGTCCACTGTACTTGATAAGTTTACACAAACATATATTAAGTTAGTAAGTTTATTCAGGTATACACAAATACAGTTACATAGATTATCATACATAGCAGCATATGTGTAAAGTACCTAGGATAACCCAAAAAAGTCAGACTGTGTGACTTATTTCCACTGGGGTTAGCAATAGAACTAGGCATTAAAAAACAATAATAAAAATAAAATACACATATAGTACAATTATTACTTACCTTAAAATATTTGTAGTCTTAATCTAGGGTTAGATGAGTAGTATTTATTGTAAGAAATCAAGTGTGGTATGTATGGTAGCCAGCTGGGCCACCATACCAGGCCACCCCACCTACACTTAATATTCTATAACATTTAAGTGTCCAGCGCGATAAAATGCATTACTTACCTTAAAATATTTGTA